AAGTGGGGGAAGGAAAGAGAGGGAGAGAGAGAATCTCAAGCAGGCTCTGGACTATCAGCACAGAGCCTGACATGGGGCCCGAACCCACGAACTGTGAGATCATGACCTGAGCCAAAATCAAGAGTTGGATGCTTAACTGACTGAGCCACCCAGGTGCCCCCAGTCATGATTTATCTTTACTTTTTTATAAAAAAAAGAAAAAAAACCTGGATCATCTTAAATGTACAGCAGAAGTTCTGAGGACACTAACATTGTGTAGTTTATAGTTTTGAGATCAAAAAGTGGACTAGTTTGTTGGTGTGGTATTAAGTTTTACATGTATCTATAAGGAAAGGCACATTTATGTTGTGCCAACAGCAATCACATCTTAAGTCCCCAATTAAAATGTGACTTTTTAAACTCCAAAAGTTCCACGCGACAGTTTAGCCATCTGTTTAATGAAACAACCACTGATTTGGTCATAGATAATTATTGCAATAAGAACAGTGCTAGGGAAAGTTCAACTCATGACAGTTAATTACGAAGAGATAATTAGCGAGGGTAGTTAGCATGATCTCCTCTCTAGGGTAAGAAATAGGTAACAAATCTCATTCCAGGTGTAGATCATGTAGACCGTATAGTTACATATATTTTTGAATCATCATTTAAAAATCTTATTAGATACCAAACAGTATATTTACTGAGCTATGTTTAACCAAAAGGAGAAGTGTTGTTTTTCATAAATTATCTATTGAATTCTATGAATTTTTTTGTCAAAAATATCCTTAGGTTATCACATGGAGGCTTTTGTGTTTCATGGGCACTCTTACCAATGTAAGAGGGAAATTACAGCACTTGTCCCTGGTGGAATCCATGACTACGGTCCTTAACACATTCTGCTAATTACCTTCCAGGAAGACACAAATGCGGGAGTATTAGAGTAAGCTCTCTACCATCAAATGTGGTGAAGGAGAGTTCTGGTGAAGATAGTTCTCAAAACTCACAGTAAATAATAGTTTTAAATTCCTCTATGATAAAATCACTTTGATAAGGAGCAAAAATGATTAATTTCCTTCTTACTATCTTGGTATAAGTACTTCAGAGTTGCGAAGTACTTATGAAAGTACAAATTATGAAAGAACAAATTATAGAGGGACAATAAGCAAAAGACTTGCAATTTTAGTATCTTCTATCCAAGCGCAGCATAATGGAGCTCCAAGGGTGGTGAAAGCATTGGCATTCATTATTGGCTCATCAGTATTAGAACCAAGGGAATTTTTAACAGATTGCCTCACAGGAAAGAAAGAACCCTGCCTGGTTCCCTATTCTCATTTTGGGCACACAACTAAGGTTTTCTTATGTTTCGTTTTGGCACTTCTGGTTTCTCCAACATGAAAATCGTGTGACTTTATATTGCGTCCGTGTAGAATATGTGACAGAACTGAGATAAGTTAAACTCATTTTTGTGCTATTAGTGAAGAAAGGTTTTTAAAGAATTAATAGGAAAATATGTTAGGAGAATTTCAGTCTCTTTAAGAGAAGAATTTTAGTGAGATCCTAATACACTCTTTGCTTAAATGCAAAATAGAGTTAGCTGTAAATGGATTTCTCTGTAGGAGTGTGTAATATTTAAGATCTCTAACTTTGTTTAAGCTGCTGAGACCTTCGATGTACTTTGGCAATAATTCTTTACTAGGAATTAACTATTACTCCCAACTTATCATCAGACTCAGATATGAATTCAGGTATTTCCACACACATAGCTGTGTGATCTCAGGCAAGTTATATGATTTCTCAGAACTTCAATTTATCTTTCCTCAATAGGAGTATTATAAATATTTTTCTCACGAGTTGCTTGGAAAATTAAATTAGATAATGAATCTCAGCTTCTTATATTATGTCTGCCCATCCCAACCACTCAGTATGAGTTAGGTGTTAGATTTATCTTAAAATTAGGGTGGTAGTGGTTTCTACTTAGGGGTATATATTTTATTATTCACTTAAGATATAGGAAATTCTTTGAAAAATACATGTATATTAAACTGTAATATAGATTTTATTCATTCTGCCTTTCTTTCCAATGAGCATGACTGTAATATACACATATAAGGGTTGTCTTTGGTGTGCTTATTGAACGCAACAGGGTGTGTGTAAGGATTTTTTTCTACAATATTTTCCATTAATGATAAATTACATAAAAGTACTAAGTATACAACAGAATTTAGACAATGGAAGGGTTGAGAATTAGGAGACAGGAACCTTGGTTTCTATATCTAGTCAACTTGTCCTTTAGCAAATCACTTATCTGGGTTTCAGTTTCTTCAGACTTCAGAGAAGAAACTTGTACTGAATGATTTCTATGGCTATTTACAGTTACCAAGCTATAATTCTACAATAAGCTCAGAACAACTGTATTTTCAAAATTATATCATTTACCTACTGGCAATGTTTATCATATATCTTTGCTTCTACTTATTTTTTTGCACTTAATAGGAAAGAGTACATGATTGCTTTATCTTGAAGTTGATTTTTTTTTCCAAAATCTTGAAATATAAGGCTATCCAGTGACCTTAAAAATGATCTAGCCTCTCACTCGGCCAGGACATTATTCTAGTTTCTAAGAAGACCAATTTCCTTTATCTGGAAAAGGCCCAACTTTCTCTGTTATGTTCTCTGAAAAGGAAATTATATAGATTATCATGCCTAATAACTTTTACTGTTCTAGTGAAGGTTATTTCCCATTTTATTTTAAAAATTAAAAAGAATTTTAAAAGAAAAGCTAATTTTAATTACAGGGAGATTTTACCTTTTGTTTTATCTGTTCAACAAACCTTTATGTGTTTAAGAAGGTGTGTGTTTATTGCTATAATCGAATCAGCTGAATAAAGTTCCACAGCTTTATATATTCCTAATTTTGAATGGAGATACCTGATAGAAATAAAGATAATGAAGAGCAGAAATACATCTCTCTGAATTTCATGTGTCTGTCAATAATTACATCAAGAAAAGAGAGGCTGCTGATGTTTTATTTAGATTGTGTTAATTCAGTCCCTAGAACCAGATGAAAGGTCTAATAATGTAGTTTATAATGATGTGAACTGTCACTTCTATTTGAATAATGTTAGCTACAATCAAATAATTTTTCCTTTTCCATAATGGAATGTTCCTATTCTCATTGTTGTCTGTAATATCTTTGCCTCCAAATAATTCAATTGAGGGAAAACAACATCGTGTACCTAATTCCTGTGTGGTTTAGATTATAGTTTTGAGCCAAGCTGTGGCCAGAGTTGTGTCCTTTCATGAGACACTGATTTTGTGGCTCAATATGTTTTTAGTTCTGAGCTAGATTATCTTATCCATACTCAGGGAAGTACGAATGAAATAAAGAAGCAATATGACTTTTTAAATTATATTTACATCTTCATGACTATTATTTTTTTTAATTTATCTGATTCGACCCTCCTCTCTGTTCCCTACACAAATTCTGGCTTTCTGATTTCCTTCTCAAAATGCATCTGCTGCTTTTAACTGCCACCTCAGGGGCCTCTCTCTTTTCTTTCTTTTGCAAAAAAAAATAGCATTTCCAGATATCCTAACGCTTTATTATCAAAGTTGTCCAGGTGTCATTTCAAGCATCTCACAGGGTTCACAGTGGAGACAGTACCCTGTACCTTTCTTACCTTTTGTCTATAGAGGTGACTTTGCAGGTGGAAGCATGAGGAAGGCGGCTGAGGCAGCTACAGAAACTGTTTCCTAGGTCACGCAAGGTCAGAGCCTGGTCTCTTCGTACACTATACAAATTCCACTGACGAATATCTGTGAAAACATTGATGGTCTGAATTTAGCTGTTCCATAATACTGAGATATAAACCCTATGGGTCAATTTGCTAAAGCACATTTTACATGCTAGACTTAGCAAAATGAATCAAGTGCCATAAAGGCATGCTCATATTCACTTAAAAAAAATTAAAAGGTATCTATTAGGTCAGAGGCTTCTAATAAATGGCATCCATACATATTTGAGATTGAGGCTTTGGAAGCTCTAAGGTGGCATGCCATTATATAGGCTAACTTCCCAAAGGGCATTTTTATTTTGTAATTGCATCTTTGGCTAACTTATCTGGCTAAATTGTCATGTTATTTCTTATCTGTCATTTGCTTATCTTCATTAAAAAACTGTTCAATATCATTAAACACTTCATCTTTCAGTTAGATGATTTTGCACGTAATTAGGGGAAAAGAAAATGGAAAAAATTGCTGATTATCACAAATGATATGGAGAGTTGCAAACAATTTGAAGTTAATTACGAGCTTAGTTGGGGGGTTAATTAATTTCTGCGTGGACTATACAGAAGATGGATTTCCAACATGTATCTATTAAGTTAGTAATATCATAGACTCCTATTTTATAAATAAAACATGTAGGTACACATACAGCTCAGATGAAAATATCAAACTTTTATTATATCAAAATTGTTCTAGGACTGACTTTTTGGTTTGTATTTAAGCTTTCTTAGAGGATTTTAGTCACAGCAAATGTGTCACAACTTCAACTGTAAATACTCATATTTCATATTAAGATTGTTTGACATGGTCTGAGTGTCTTGTCCATTTTTCCAGCTATGTTTCAGCCTTGTCACTTGCTTTTGTTTTGTTGTGCATTGTCATGTGTTTTGAAAGAATTGAGGCACTTCTTTTATTTGCAAAACCCAGTCAGCATTTTGTCACCGCCTGTTCAAGTTCCAGCGTAATGGCCCAGACGAAATACTTGGGAATGTGGAGGTCTGGGAATGACTGATGGATCTGTGTAGCAACTATAGCTTTAACCTCTAACTAGCTTTCATTTTTCATCTTTGCAATTTCCATTTCCTCTTTTTATCAAAATTAATTTAGTCGAAATAAATGGATACTCCTGCACATCCTGTGAGCTCTTCTGAGAATTGCACGGGTCTGTTAATAATTTTTCATGTCTCTCTCTCTCTTTTTTTTCTTTCTTTTTTTTTTTTTTTTTTTTTTTTTAGTCTCGACCTATTCCTTCCCACCTGACTTCAGCAGTTGCAGAGAGTATCTTGGCTTCAGCCTGTGAGAGTGAGAGCAGAAATGCCGCCAAGAGGATGCGCCTGGACAGACAACAGGTACCGAGGAGCCTCAGGGTCGGTGGACACCAGCTATTGCAAATATGGTTCAGTTAGTCTGATTCAGGTAGAAGGGCGAAAGCTCTGGGATGGATTTTGAAGTACACTGAGGTAGAGTTTTGGGGTCTTTATGATATGAATTGAAAGTTGAAAGTGTAGGATCATGAGAGCAGCGGGCATCCATTACATTTTCCGTGGTGAAAAAATGGACAGTTGTGGGGCACCTGGGTGGCTCAGTCAGTTAAGTGTCTGACATCAGCTCAAGTCGTGATCGCACGGTGTAGTTCGTGGGTTCAAGCCCTGCATCGGGTTCTGTGCTGACAGCTTAGAGCCTAGAGCCTGCTTTGGATTCTGTGTCTCCCTCTTTCTCTGTCCCTCCCCTACTCACACTCTGTCTCTCTTTCTCTCAAAAATAAACAATAAAAAATTTTTAAAAATGGACAGCTATAAAATCAGGAATTCTGGCTAGTATCCAATTTGCAGGCTAATTACTTATTTAAATAAATGGTTCTAACTGATCATTTATGTTCGTTTTGTACATTTACCTGATTGTTTATAATAGTGACACGATTGTGTTCATTTCGAGTGAAAGTGAACCTCTCCTTAATTTCCCCTGCTCTGCTGCTAAACGTCAGTGAATTGCTCTGGGAATCTTGAAAGCACATACTTTGAAAGACTGGAAAGCTGTAAAATGGGGACAGAAAATAATGAAAATATATGTCCTGGGCTTGCTTCCGCATTAATGAATCATTTACTGTATACCCATCAAGTATCCTTCTATCTGTGTCTCCTTCCTAGGGATGTAGCTGTATGTGGTGTGGGCATGTGCATCTTGCGGGCGTTGTGCGCTTATGTCTTGCTCAGTTTTCCCTTGGTTTATGTGCCTCTGTCGGTCTCCCCTCCTCAGGTCTGAATGCCTTTCTCTGTGTTCTTTTTATCTCTGGCCCTCATAATTGTCCATAATCAAATACTAAAGTATAGCACACAATATTAAATACTACACATAAAAGTATGCTGTGTTCTGACTTTTAAGTTATTTTTACAACAAATGATCTTGTGCTTCATATCTTTAGTTGAGTTTGGGATGAGAAGACTAAATTTTCAGTCTAATTTTGTTTTTTCCTACAGGCCAATGAGAGTCTTAAAATTATATATATGTATATATATGTATGTATATATGTGCATACATATATATACATGTATATATATACATATACATACATATGCATATATATGCATACTATACATATATATACATGTATATATATGCATACATACATGTATATACGTGCATATACATATATACATATAAATTATATATATATACATTGTACATATACATTATATATGTATATGTATGTATATATATGTATGTACGTATATACATATATGTATGTATATGTACATATATATAAAACAAGTATCTCCAGTCCAGGACCAAAATATTTCAAAATGTTTCAGAATGGCAGTATTTTAAAATTGTATGTGTTTATTATTAATATGGCATGTGCTAATAATTCTAAACAATGCAAAATATGAAATCCCTGGTTAATATTTTTTTTTATTTAAAAAAAGTTTTTTAAGTTTATTTATTTTGACGGAGACAGAGACAGTGCAAGTGGGGGAGGGGCAGAGAGAGAGAGAGAGAGAGAATCTTAAGCAGGCTCCACACTGTCAGTGCACTCACTGTCCATGTGAGGCTTAACCCCATGAACTGTGAGATCATGATTTGAGCCAAAACCAAGAGTCAGACACTTAACCGACTGAGCCATCCAGGCACCCCTAGTTAATATTTTTTAAATGTAGTATTAGCCTCAGATAAAATGTATATGAAAATACTGATTTTGAGTTTGTTAATCATCCTTGGCCAGTCATGTTTATGCACATATGCATTCCTCCGTGAGAGTTTTATCATTATTATAAGCCTAGAATCTATCTTACTTGGAACAAGTCAGAGCCCTGTATACAATACCATATAACACAGTCATTAAGATGGCACATTCTGGAGTTAAGTACATCTGGTTTGGTTTCTCAGCCCTGCTCTTACTAATAGCCCTTCAGAAAGCTACTCCAGTCTCTGTGCCTCAGTTTCTTCATGGGCACGATAACAATAACAGTTCTAATCCTAAAGGGTTGTTGTGAGCATGCTAAATGACACATTTATGTTAAGTACTTAGCCTGGCATATAGTAAGCATCAACAAATTTAGCCTAGGAAAAGATTGTAACTGATGTTCTGTCATTGCCTTGGCATCAATAAATCTAGAAAGAAACATTAATAGTAGTATCTCAGATATAGGAATTTTGAAGTCAGACGAAGTCTATTTGAGAAAATATCATAATTCTAGAAACCAACATAATAGAATTCTGGGATTCAATGCGCTTTTCTGTGTTGTCTTGACATATATCCCACCTCGTCTACACTCTAGAATGGTGTCAGTCATATGTACAGTTGTCATGAAAATGAAATGACTGATTGGTGCTATGAACTACCTGTGATACTTCTATGTATCCACCAATATTGGGTCCAGTAACTTAACCACTGTTGGCCTAATCTATCAAATCGAGGTTACATATATCAAATTCATAGGTTTATTTTGAGGATTCAATAAGGCAAGGCATATGAAAGCATAGCTCATTTAATAAGTTTACATATATTTTCAGAGCTATCCTGTATTCGAACTCCTGTGTATGTGCTTCCATACGTACCTAAGTGGTAGGAAAATGTTACCTCCAGTCCTAAGATCGGCTCTTTACTAACACACGTGTCCTGTTGTCAGAAAGGAATACTCATTTGGGCAGTCTTTAAATTGACATCAAAGTTGCTTCCTAGAACTTCTACCCATTGAAGAAAAGCTACTAGCAACTTTTAGCTATTAGCAATCATGAGAACAGTGACTTCTAACTACTGCCCAGGGACCAGGGGGCCAGAATGGGTGGGGATCAGTGGTCCTTGACCCTGCTTCCCATGTTACCTGTTTCCTTTTTCTGTCCTCCTACACAGTGGTCATTTATTGCAAAGCTCTGTCTCCTGGGAATAGGGGATGTCCGATATTTTCCCCACAGAGGAACGTTCTTTCCAGGTTTTAAAAGTGTTCAGTGGACCTGGGATTTATGGGGGATATGGAAGAAAATATTTTAAAAAATACATTCTGGGGGCGCCTGGGTGGCGCAGTCGGTTAAACGTCCGACTTCAGCCAGGTCACGATCTCGCGGTCCGTGAGTTCGAGCCCCGCGTCAGGCTCTGGGCTGATGGCTCAGAGCCTGGAGCCTGTTTCCAATTCTGTGTCTCCCTCTCTCTCTGCCCCTCCCCCGTTCATGCTCTGTCTCTCTCTGTCCCAAAAATAAATAAACGTTGAAAAAAAAAATTAAAAAAAAAAAAATACATTCTGTGATTTATTGGCAACCCAATAGGTGCTTTGTGGGACTTTATTTTTCCTATTTAGTAATTTCAACACCCCATGGAAAGCAGGTGTTATTATTCCCATGTCCATGTAAGGAACCCAAGGCTCAAGGAAGAGGGGTTATTTGTACAGGGTCACCCCGCTGAATGAGCAAATCAGACAATGAGTTTCTACTGTGGGAGGCGGACACTCTAGATCTCTCTACAGTCTTACTACCTTCCATTGATTATATTCACTGAGGGAAAACCCGTGTCCTGGAACAAACTCTTAGGACTCCTATCATTTGTGCCTCTGCTTGTAATGTTTTTGACAGTGCAGTTTTCTGTTGGAAAACCATCTGTTTTAATCATAAAGATATTTATGCTCTTTCATATCTAGCAAACCAGGTTTCCCCAGTAAGCAAACTATTCCAGGCAGGACATTTTTGCCTCAATATCAGCTTGAAAAAGTGCCTCACTTCATCTGGGAAATGAGTTCTAAACTGTGAAAACTGATTGAGTGTTTAGTATTTCAAAATAAATAAAATATATTACACACAGATATTTAAAAATCCATGAATTATTTCTGCTTACTCTGAACTCATATTTCATTTAACATGCCACACAAAGTGTTCCATCAAGTAATTGTGCACTGCCAACCAAAGCATGCGAATGGGACAGCCCTCTCCTAATTAGATCTAGACCTTCTTTACGCAAGTAAGAGAGAGAAGGATTCTTTTGGGTGTTGGCGATGAGATCATCCTTTTCTGTGCACATTCTTAACCCAACTCACAACTCTTAGAATTTGCTGGTGACTCAGAGATTCTGTATCACATCCCTGCCTTTCTGTAGGTGCATGAAAGCTCAAAAACTGGACAGTTAAATCTGGATTCTGTTAAGCCCCATATCTGAGTGCTTGCTGCCATTGCATAGCCACACGGAGAGCTATAATTATGTATGTCCTTCAGAGTTTATGAAGCTTGATGAATTAATTGGATTTTATAAAGCTGTTTGAGCTATGAACATGAAAGGTGTTATGGATGTGTTAAATACTTTATTTCATATGCCCACCTTGCACCACGATCCAGACGAGTCTGGTTATTATGCAGCCTGAGCCCCGGGGCAAGCCAGTGGCAAGGACAGGAGACTACCGTTTCATCCGGAATCAGATTTCACAGAGCTGAGGTCAACCCTCAATGCATTATAGAATATAGTCCGCATTTCTTTTATTTTAACGTGAAAATCTGGAATTTTTATGGTCCGTAGGAAATTCTTCCTCACTCTGACAATTCAAAAAACTGGTCAAAATCAGACTTCACTTTTATGATTCTATGTCATAGCTTATCTTTCAACTAAAAGATTGCCTTTGTTCAGTCTTTATTTCATTCCTCTTTCCTTAAAAACAAAGATCTCTCAAGGTTCTTGGTTACAGTTCATCTGAACAGACAAAAGCAGAAAGTGAGAGATTAGAACTTGCTACTTGCTGATGATTTATTTCCCATTGGTGTATATTTTTTGCTGTTTTTTTAAGGGATGATACATGTTTCATTCCTGGGCTTGATGACTGATAAACTTAAGGGATTCATGAATAATAAGAGTTTCTTTGGTTTCTTTTCTCTA